AAAATACAAAATTTAACAACATTAATATAAAAGTTATTTAACCTACATTTCAACCATATAAATAACTAATGCATATAAAACAATTTATTTAATACATTAATTAAATAATATGGCACAATTAATATTCAATTACTAATATAATTGCATAATTACAAAAAATTTATTGATAAATTTAACAGCAATTATATAAAAAATTTATAACCTAAAATCCCTATAAATAATAACAAACAATTCATATTATTGAATCAACCATTAATATAAAATATTAAACTACTAATATTAACATGCATATGGCTTAGTCATAATTGTGTCTTATAACCTAATGTTTCATCTTATATATAAATAATTAACAACATTTAAATAACTATATAAAACTGAAAAAAAACTGCATTGCACATAAACTACTAACCTTAAATGAAGACAAATGTTCTGAGAGAGAGATGAAATGAGAAACAAAAAAAATGAAAAAGGATGAGAGTGAGAGAAGAAAGAGGGGGGAGGGGCTTCGGGTGGGGGAGAAATTGGGGGAGGGGGAGGGGGTGGGGTTTTATAAAGGGCTCTGGAAAATAGTCATTGCACCAAGTTCGCTTCCCCCCAGCGAACTTGGTGCATGTCAGCCACGTGGCCTGCTAGTCGTTAGACAGAGTTCGCTGATGTGGCCAGCGATCTCTGTGCGTGCATGACACGTGGCTTGGCCGGTGGGAAGGTGCAGAGCATTAAATGCAACCAAGTTTGCCTGTGTCAGTAGCGAACTTCAAAACCATCAGGAAGCTGACACATCAGCTTGCCTAGTTCGCTATAACTCCCAGCGAACTTGCCTGCTTGGCAGTTTGGGAAATAAGTCCGGTCGCGTGGCATTTAGGTAAAAAAAGTCTTGGAACAGTGGCACAATGGTCACTATTCCTCTTCTTCTTTCCTTTTTTTTTTCTTTTTTTTTAAAAGAAAGTTTTTTCCCATGTTAGAATGAGCTTAAATTTTAGAGAAGTGATATTGAGCTTTTTATATTTAATGATAAATTTGTGATTTGAAAGTTTTTAGAATTTCATATTTTTTTTGAAGCGTTATTGGTGATTTCTCTCCTTATATTTATTTTTGATTTTTGTTTTTAGATAATATTATTTGATTTCTTGTTATATAGAGAGAACATTGAATATTTGGTGATAGTGGAGATTTGGGTGGAGTTTAATAAAGTTCCAGTGATTTTTAGTTTCCATTCGGTTTTTCACGTTAAGAGACGTGTGTGTCAATTATTGTTGTTATTGTTTTTAATATTATTTTCTACGTTGTTTACTTTAATTTGTATTTGATCTATTTATTTGGCCCTCAACAAAGTGGTATTGGAGTTTTGGTTATTAGTTATTAGTGTTTGTGGTATAAATTGAAATGGAATGTTATTCAAGTACCATGGTTAAACTTAATGGATCAAATTTGTTAATTTGAAAACCTATGATGGAGGATTATCTATTTTACAAAGACTTGTATGAACTTGCTAAGGTTAATGTTAAGTGAACAACGAAGATATCACATGCAGACTGAGCTAAATTGATCAGAAAAATAATTGGTATTATTACACAGTGGTTGGACATTATTGTTTTTCATCTTATATAAGAGTTCTCAAAAGAAGGAAAATTGAACCAAATCAAGACTCAGTTCTGCCCAGGTAAGTTTTTCGCCACTGCAAAACCTCTTCAGGTTCAACACGAAGTTCCTACTCTTCATTAAGCACAGGAGGTAGTGGTTGAACCACCGTAGAAGGAAAAGTGACATTTTTCAATAAAGAAACGTGAAACACATTATGAACTTTACTTTCGTCTGGCAAAGCTAGCTTGTAAGCAGTTGTTTCAATTCTGGATATCACCTCAAATGAAAAATAGAAATGAGGGTTGAGCTTCTCATTTAATTTTTTTTGCAAGAGAACCCAGCCTATATAATTGAACCTTCAAGTATACCATGTCCCCAACTGCAAACTCCACCTCCCCTCGATGCTGATCAACTTGCACTTTCATCCTATTATGAGCAAGTGCTAATCGATGTTGAAGTTTATGTAAGACTGAATCTCTATTCTAAAGCATCTTGGACACCTCATCCATTGGAGAAACAACAAAAGTTGTTCGAAATAGAATTAGAAGGTCGTAGCCGTACAAAGCTTTGAACGGAGTGGTGTTTGTGGAACTTTTATAGGAGGTATTATACCAAAACTCAACCCAATGAGAGGCTCCAAGAAATTTCTCTTTATAAAGCCAAAAAATCTTGGTTCTAGAGTAACTAGTTTATGAGCTTACCTTACTAGATTATTACTTTATCTTATTTTTTGACCTTTGGATTAATCTAATAGTTAAGATAGATTTGAAAGTTAGTAAGGTGATTAGAGGTTGTATTCTAAGAGTTTGGGGGGGGGGGGGGGGCGTGAGTCGCGTGTAAGGAAATTTGGAGCTCTGCTAGGGTTTTCGTTTTTCATGGTGGTGAAAGGGGGAAGATCCCCCAATTCTGAGGGGGAAACAACAATCACCAGGGAGTCTAAGAAGGCGAAAGGAGATATGGAGATGGATCTGGAGATGCAAGTAGAACCTTCGATTGCGGGCGCAATGGAGGTTGAGGCAGACGAAGTGAAGCATTCGATAGATGTGGAAGTGTTAGAGGCAGATCTGAGCAAGGAAGGAGAAATTAGGAGAGATCCTCGGAAGCTGGTGTCTTACAAGGATCACCTATTGCGAATCAATGGCGTCTGGGATGGGTTCCCGGAGGAGGAAGACGACTGGGTTGCTCAATGCAAACAGGAGGAAGTCGAGGAAGAGGAGGCAATGAAAGCTTACGAACAGGTAGGGGAAGATGATCAGTTAAAGCTGGTGTTTCTCTTCTGTGAAGTATAACTTCAAAAGGACAAAGCAATGCTTGGAGTCATTTTTCTATAGGTTACTCATGTTGCTTCAAGAGTATTGTTCTCCCTCTACTCCATTACTCATGAAAACTAAATATTTATAAATTTAATCTTTACCTTGTGTGAATATATATATGGGATATTTGTTTTTTCTTTTGCAGGAAAACAAAATTCCATTCCTACACAAACATAACCTTGTGGGTGCCATAAGTCACAAAGAATAAATAATAATAATTAAAAAATAAGATTAAAACTTGTATATGCACGAAGGGTATTGTTTTCTCCGGCAACTAGAGAAAAACAACACCATATATATATATAGTTTGTCCTTTTAAAGGACATAAGTTGTATCACTTTGATTGTTTATAATTATGTATTTTGGGAAATACATAGTTATAATATTAAAGTTATATTTTTTCTCTCTACTAAGAACCTATCGGCTAACGTGAAAAGTAAAAAAAATACAACTTTAATATTATAATTATGTATTCTCGGGAGTACATAGTTATAAACCGCTAAAATAACACAGTCGTTTAAAATGAAAAAAGATTTTTCCATATATATATAGAGATATATATATATATATAGGTAAAATCATTTCTCCAGCTGCTGTATGTCATACAATAGATCTTACACCATTGATTGATTATGATTCCCTGCATTTAATGCTTTTATCAACCTTGTATGTTTATGTAGGGGTGTCAAAACGGGTTGACACGACACGAATTTGACACGACACGAATACATCAACACGAACACGACACGAATTTTTATTCGTGTCAAAATCTTCAACACTAACATGACACGAATTTTTTGCGGGTTGACACGACACGACACGACATGAATAACACGCAAAATAGGGGTCAAAATGGTAATTGACAAAAATATTTAAAAAGGGTCGAAATTAAAAAAATTTAAAATAATAATAATAAAAAAAAATGTGTCAACACAAACATGAATACATCAACATGAACACGACGCAAATTTTTTACGTGTCATTTTTCTCAACACGAATATGACACATTTTTTTTTTTTGCGGGTCAACTCGAACACGAATTTTCGTGTCATATCGCGAGTCGACCCGCGTGTCATAACCTATATTGACACCCCTATGTTTATGATTCCCCAAATTCATTTGCTGGATGTCAAGCGGTTGGAGAAAAATAATATATATATGTGTGTGTGTGTGTGTGTGTGTGTGTGAGGTAGGATCCTTTGACATCGATGTCAAATTTGAAGTTTGACACCTCACTTGAGAGCCGTTAGATAAAAAAAGATCAATGGTATCACATGCTTACAAATCAGAGTCGTTGATTTTTTTTGATCTAACGGCTCTCAGATGAGGTGTCGAACTTCAAATTTGACACCGGTGTCAAAGGATCCTACCCCCCTCTCTCTCTCTCTCTCTATATATATATATATATATATATATATATATATATATATATATATATCCTACCTCTCTCTATATATATAGGGTGTCAAACTCTGAAATTTGATATCAAATCCTAACCGTTGATTTTCGCCAATCAATGGTTATCATTTATCATTTGACACCTCATCTGATAGCCGTTAGATCCAAAAAGATCAATAGTGTCACATGCTTATAAACCAGAGTTATTGATCTTTTTTAATCTAATAGCTCTCAGATGAGATATCAAATTTCAAATTTGACATCAGTATCAAATGATCATAGTCTATACTCATAATCAGAAGATTTTTTTTTGAAAACAAAAGAAAATATAAAATGAAAGAAAAAGAGAGAGGGACCTACAGGCAACCGCACTAAAACACATGAAATGTGGCAAAAAGAGTCGTGCATAACTCTAAACGGACACAGAAAAACAGAGCCATGCAAAGTTGCCGTTTCCACACACTCTCGCCATTTGGGGTAAGACGCTTCCTCACTCTCACAACCCTTTTACAGTATTCTCCAACTAAACTCCAAAAGGGAGTGCTGGTGCTGTTTCTGGTGCTTGTGCAGTTCAGACAGTGTCACCAACCGAAAAAGGTAGCTCCTTTCCTGATACACAGAGCTCTGAATTGAACCCCAATTGTAGCTGGGTCTTTAGTTTTTGATCAATTGTGTATATTTGTTGTTTGAGATAGCCAATTTGCTGAGATGGGTCGTGGAAAGATTGAGATCAAAAGGATCGAGAATATCAACAGCAGGCAAGTCACATTCTCCAAGAGGAGAAGTGGGTTGCTCAAGAAGGCTAAGGAACTTTCCATTCTATGTGATGCTGAGGTTGCTGTCATTGTCTTCTCCAACACTGGGAAGTTGTTCGAGTTTTCCAGTAATGGGTATGTCTCTGAATTCTCTGATATGTTTGTATGTTACTTTTGATTATACCCATCAATGATACTGGGTGTTAAATTTCAGCAGTTCCACTCAATTTAATTAACTATTTCCCCCTCTGTTTTAATATCTACATTGATGCATGTACAAAAATAATAATAATAATAATAATAATAATCATCATCGTTTATCTTTGTCAATAGAATTTTGAGGTCCTCAGTGTGAGTGGTATTCTATTTTTTATTTTTATATTTAAGTTGCTTTCTTTTATGTATTTCATTTGTAAAGAACCAATTTAACCCAAAAACTTAAGCTAGTGGGTGATTTTATATTAATAATTTTTTTTTGATTAAGTTATATTAATGATTTTATATATCTCTAACATCATTTTTTGAGAGGTAATTTTTATTTACCAAGCAAGTATTTTGCTTTGCAAAGGTTTTTGTGTGTGAGACATAAGAGCTTTTCATTGAATTGGTAGACCCTTAGAAAACTGGTAAGGATACATTAATAATAGTTAACCACTTGTAGCTTTGGTTGCTTCCCTGATCCTAATCCTATAGTCTCCATTGAATATTAGTGGGCTACGACATCTCTTCTATGTGTTTAAGCAATTGACAAATCTCGTTAAATTTGTGTGCACTAACATGTTGAGTTTATCTAGCTATTTTTGTGATGATTTTACTAATTGACTATTTTTTTTTTTCTAATATACCTTCTCCACTAAGGGGCGAAACCAGAACAGTGGTAAAACTGTTCTTTCATGACTGAAAGGTCATGAGTTCGAATCTACGAAACAGCCTCTTTGCTCTTATGTAAGAGTAAGACTGCATACGAAGATTACCTCCACCCCACACTCGTCAGTCGGGTTTAAAGGGGAGTGATTTTTTTTTTTTTTTTAATATACCTTCTCCACTTTGTGTTTAGAGCACTTAATTGAAATCCACGCATGGGAGGACATATGATGTGACTCATTTTTTACAAACAATACCTATTTTGCATTCTTACAATTCCTTCTTGCAGTATGAAGCGAACAGTTTCAAGATACAACAAATGCCTTGATTCTCCAGAGGCTGCTGCAGTGGAATATAAGACAAGGGTACTCTCTTGTCCTCCTTTGTTCTATTAACGTTCACTAAGGTTTCACTTTTTTACATGTACGTTGAGCTTCTTCAAAATATGTAAAAAAATAAAATAAAATTCTCAAGTTTATTAGCTTAATTTATTCAAGCTTTATTTCAATTTTTTTTAACAGAATGATGTTATATGCAGCTGAATGGGCACTTGAATTTCTAAACTCAAGTGAAACCAGAAAAAAGGGTGTGATTTAAATGGTCTTTCTGGGGTCATTTGATCCCTGTAGTTGACTATTGGCACCAGAACGAAAAATGGCAGAATACACAAGTGCCAATGACACAGATAACAACAACAAGACTACAATAGACACTGAATTCACACTTTTATTAATGGATAAACAAACTATCTCACCACCGTGAAAATAGCTTGTGACAGTACAAGGAAATTTAAAAGCAGTAATTGAAAGTGCAGTATTATAGAACCTCCCTCTCTCAACCTTCTATCCGATTGAAAGAGATACACTAGTAACCCAGACCCATGGCAGCAGCTGGTACTCTCTTCCCAGTGCTCACGACCCTTAACAGACTCAAAAATATGCTGCTACTCTTATTCCCCACTAACTAACTTATATGCTGCTTCTTCCGCTTCATTATCTTCACCACCAATTTTCCCTTCCCCATTCACAACTTGCCACGTGTCCATGCTTGTAACTAATTTTGTTTTGCTCTTTCCCTTAACTCTTCTCTCATGGGCTTTACGTTTATACACTTTGTCATATGGTTGCAGAAGAGGCCCATCAATACCCCCCCCCCCTTCAAAATTCACCTTGTCCTCAAGGTGAAATGAGGGCCACTGATTCTTAAAATCTAACAAATTCTCCCATGTATTCTCACAGTCCAGCAACTCCTCCTATTTCACCAGAATCTCCACTTGCCCATTTAACAAACGTCGAGCTTGAAGGATAGCAGCTGGCTGGACTTGTAACTCCAATGAATCAGTTAAACACTGTGGTAAATCCAAGACTTGGATAGAAGGATGAATCACCCGTTTCAACTGTGACACATGAAAAACCGAGTGTATTTTTGAATATGAAGGCAGCTCTAGTCTATAATCTACGGGGCCCACTTGTTCACTGATTTCAAAAGGCCCATAAAACCGCGGGCTTAATTTTTGATTGATCCTTCTTGCTAAGGATTTTAACTTGTATGGCTGAATTTTCAAAAAAACCTTCTCCCCTACTGAGAACTGCTCTTCCCTACGGTGCTTATCTTCTTGTATCTTCATTCTATGCTGCGCTTGCTGTAGATTCTGTTTGAGCTCATCTAAAATGGCATCACGAGCACCCAACCAAGCATCCACTGCAGCCACTTGGCTGCTGCCTATCGTGAATGAAATAATCACTGGTGGATCTCTGCCATACAAGGCACGAAAGGGAGTCATTTGGATTGACCGGTTGTAGGAAGTGTTGAACCAGAATTCAGGCCAAGAAAGCCACTTTGCCCAACTCTTGGGGTGACCATTAGCAAAGCACCTCAGATAAGTCTCTAATGTTCGATTAACAACCTCCGTTTGACCATCCGTTTGTGGGTGGTAAGCGGAGCTGAATCGCAGTTTGGTGTTAGTTAACTTGAACAGCTCACACCAAAAATTACTAAGAAAAATACGATCACGATCAGATACAATTGATTTGGGAATGCCGTGTAAACGGATTACCTCTCTCATGAAGACAACAGCCACCTTTTGTGCATCGTATGGATGTTTGTGGGTCATAAAGTGGGCATACTTGGTGAGTCTATCCACTACTACTAGTATGGTATCAACCCCCTGAGAATTTGGTAGGCCACTAATGAAATCCATTGAAATTTCCTCCCAAACTTGTTCGGGAATAGCCAATGGTTGTAAAAGCCCTGCTGGTTTCAGATTGCTGTACTTTTGTTGCTGACATATATTACAAGCCTGAACAAACTCAGCCACATCTCGTCGCATCCTTTTCCAAAAAAACACTGCTGCCACCCTCTTGAACGTTCACAACTCCCCTGAGTGACCACCCCATGGAGAAGAGTGGAATTCTTGCAAAATGTTAGGAATTAGAGGAGAAGATCTAGGAAGGACTAATCTATTCTTAAACCATAAACAACCCTTCGACACATGATAACCCGGATGTGATTTTTCATCCAAAAACACCTCAGTCATAATTTTCTTTGTGGCTGGATACTGCATTACCTCTTCTGACAGCCTTTGCAAATATGGACTATTGACTAGTGTGAGCTCCTTGCAATCCATGACGCGTGACCGCGCATCCGCAGCAGTATTCTCAACTCCCGGCTTATATTGTATCTCAAAATCATATCCCATTAGCTTCGCAACCCATCTTTGCTGCCCTTCAACCATAAGCCTTTGTTCTGTCAAATATTTAAGACTTCGTTGGTCAGTTCTAATCAAGAAATGGCGGCCCAACAAATAATGGCGCCATTTAGTAACTGCAAAAACAATAGCCTTGAGCGTTTCATAAACGGACAAGGATTTATCCATTTCAGAAAAAGCCTTGCTAAGGAAAGCAATCGGACGACCCAATTGCATCAAAACAGCCCCATGCCCACCCCGGAGGCATCGGTTTCTACTACAAAAATGTCATCAAAATTTGGGAGAGCCAGTGTAGGTAACTGTAACATTTCCTGTTGTAGAGCTTCAAACACCACTTGAGCTTCTGCATTCCATAAGAATTTATCTTTTTTGAGTAGCTGGGTTAATGGTTGAGCAATTTGACCATACCGTTTAACAAACCGTCTATAGTAACCGCTCAGCCCCAAAAATCCTCTAAGACCCTTCAAATTCTGAGGAATTGGCCAATGTTCTACGGCTGTCAATTTTTGTGGGTCTGCTTTAACACCCTCTTGCGAAACCAGATGACCTAGATACTCCAATTCCCTTTTTGCAAAAGTGCATTTTTTTAAATTTGCACAGAAACAATGTTGTTTCAGTATCTCTAGAACCACTCGTAAGTGACCCACATGCTGTTCCACATTCTCACTATATACCAGAATGTCATCAAAAAATACTAGGACAAACTTCCTGAGATAAGGCTTAAAAACAATATTCATTAATGCTTGAAAAGTTGAAGGGGCTTTCCTCAATCCGAAAGGCATTACGAGATATTCGTAATGTCCCTCATGGGTACGAAAAATAGTCTTTTCTATATCCTCAACTCGCATACGGATTTGGTTATAACCCGATTTGAGGTCAAACTTGGAGAAAATTCCAGCCCCATTCAATTCATCCAAAAGTTCATCAATTATGGGAAGAGGAAATTTGTCAGGAATAGTTACCTTGTTCAAAGCCCTGTAATCCACGCAAACGCCAACTCCCATCTTTTTTTCTGACTAAGATGAGTGGGCTCGAATACGGACTGCAACTTAACCTGATCATTCCTGCTACCAGCATTTCTTTAACAAACTTTTCGATCTCCTCCTTCTGGTAATAAGGATAGCGATATGGTCGTATGTTTGGGATTTCTGCATCGGGCTTCAGTATGATCTTGTGATCACAATCCCTGGATGGTGGCAGTGCAGAAGGAAGCTGAAACACCTCTTCATAACAATGGAGCAACTCTGTAATTTCCGGAATATCAATTAATCGATCCTTTAGTTCCATTGACAAATATCCCAGTTCCACGTAATACCCTTCGGTCCCCTTTCGCCATGAACGCGTCATCCCTTTGTATGACACCTTGCTACATGTTAGCTTTGGATCTCCCTTCAAAGTCACCGTCGTCCCTTGCCAAGGAATTCTCAGTATCCGCTCCCTGAAATTTGCTTGGATATCTCCCAACCCCTCTAACCAGGCGTATCTTAACACCAGATCCACATCTTTGAGCATGAAGACATAAAAATCTTGTGTTATTGAAAGAGTGGGTAGCTCCAACGTGACCCCCTTACACATTCCTTTCCCTTGTACCTGATATCCATCTCCCACCGCCACCTCAAAAGAATCAGAATTATTTATCTGTAGTCCCCCCTTCTCCACCGTGTCCTCACTGATAAAGTTGTGAGAAGCTCCCGTGTCGATCAAAACCAGCACCAGATGTCCCCGAATCTCCCCCCAAAGTTTCAAGGAGTGATTGGAGGTGAGTCCTACCACGCTTTGCATGTTGAGTTGGAGGACCTCGTTGGCTTCTTCCTCTTCTTCCCCGTGTTCCGTCTCCTCCTCGGTTGTCTCCCTTGTGCTCTCGTCCAGAATCATGACGAACAACTGCGGGTTCGGGCAAACGTGACCCGGTCCAAACGACCCATCACAGAGCGGAAACAAAGGTTGCGACGACGATGCTCTGCGATCTCCTCTGGTGTTAAGCGACGGAACTGATTTTCCCGGCGACCATCCGTACCTGTGGCCAACGTTCCCAAGCGTTGCGTCGCCCCCTCCGATTCTAATCCCCCTTTCCCATTACGATTAGGGTTCCTATTGGTATTACTAGCGGCCAAAGATTGGGTCATTTGGTTTGTGTTTTGTTGGGTTGATGAGTTAGGCCCATTTTCCCCCCACTTATTTCCCCTGTTGTTGTTAGTAAGGGCTGCCTTTCTTCCAAATCCATTCCCACTAACAAACCAAGATGCGTTACGGCCCAAATACCCATCACCTCTGCCCATCACACGATCCCTTTCCTCTACGCGTTGGGCAAGTAACATCATGTTGCCCAAATCGTCCAGCGCATGCAAGCGGAGCTCTGCCCTTATTTCTGGTTTCAACCCCGTTAAGAAGGCGGCCTGCATCATCTCCTCGTCTGCGTGTCTCAACGGCGCGGATAAAACCTCAAATTTCTTACGGAATTCAGTCACCGTCCCTGTCTGTTTCAGCTCCATCAACGACTCATATGGGTTCCCTGATGGCGAAGCATGAAAACGTTGCAGGATGGCAGATCGAAATATCACCCAATCTACCAACGGGTTTCGTGGTTCCCACCACTGAAACTAGCTGAGGGCCTCTCCTTCCAAGCAAATCGCAGCCGTTTCTACTTGTTCCTCCGGTGGTATTCTGTTGACTCGGAAGTATCGTTCCGCGCGGAAGATCCACCCGTAAGGATCAACGCCCGTGAAATAAGGCACTTCCACCCTACGCATCCTCTCTTCGTTCCTAATTGGGCGTGTGTTTGTTTCATTCGTACTTCCATGGCGTTCACCTCCTCCATCGTTCGATCCCCCTTGCTGACCGCCTCTTGCCATCTCTTGGAGCGTCTGCATTATTTCAGCGATATTCAGGTCAATCCGATGAATTCCCTCTTTCGTTTCTCCCACTCTAGCTTCTAATAATTCCATTCTATGATCCATGTTTCTCGTTAGCACCATCCAAGTCGCCCGGAAAAGTGCTTTGATACCAAATATTGGCACCAGAACGAAAAATGGCAGAATACACAAGTGCCAATGATACAGATAACAACAACAAGACTACAACAGACACTGAATTCACACTTTTATTAATGGATAAACAAACTATCTCACCACCGTGAAAATAGCTTGTGACAGTACAAGGAAATTTAAAAGCAATAATTGAAAGTGCAGTATTATAGAACCTCCCTCTCTCAACCTTCTATCCGATTGAAAGAGATACACTAGTAACCCAGACCCATGGCAGCAACTGGTACTCTCTTCCCAGTGCTCACGACCCTTAACAGACTCAAAAATATGCTGCTACTCTTATTCCCCACTAACTAACTTATATGCTGCTTCTTCCGCTTCATTCTCTTCACCACCAATTTTCCCTTCCCCATTCACAGCTTGCCACGTGTCCATGCTTGTAACTAACTTTGTTTTGCTCTTTTCCTTAACTCTTCTCTCATGGGCCTTACGTTTATACACTTTGTCATATGGTTGCAGAAGAGGCCCATCATTGACCCCACATAGTTGGAACAGGCTTTGGTTGTTACTGTTTGAAAATTGTTCTCTCTTGTCATGATGTTGTTTCTTATAGACACAATATATTCGCACTTGTAAACATTACTTTTCAACAGAAAATTTTTAAGGTATTAGCAGAAAATGCACATCTGCTCTTTTGATTTCCTTCCAAGTACATATGCAGAATTTCTTATAATTAATTTACTGATTTAAACAGAACATTGTTTCCTTATTCTTCAAGATACTAACAGAACTTCAGTCCGTTATATGTTTTGGGATTGTGTTGTTAATCAAACATTATATCTCCATATAATGCACTTTTTTTTTTTGATAGCCTCCATATAATGCTCTTAATTTCCAGAGAAAGTCACCTTTTAATTTGTGTTTTTCTGCTAGTTAAATATGCTGGTTCTGTTCTAATTTCTTTCTTGATTTCAATAATACATCACTTTCCTAGTCTTCAACTTATGGAACTTAAGTCTATTAGCATAATATTAATCTACAAACTTCATTGGTAGTTTAGTTAACCTGCCTCAAATAAGAGATCAGTGTCACAAGGATTGCATTTGATGTCCCTTTAATGGTAGACTTGAATCTGATACCAAGTTAGTACTTCACCTTCAAATCTAGAGATTTGATATGTTGAAAACTGAAAAGAATTAGCAGTTTTCAGTTTTAGAAATCCAATGTTTTTTTTTTAATCTTTGAATGATTAATAGAACAATAATAATAGGAAACCCAATAATTTCATGACATTCTTGTGTTGTTTTGTCAATTCAATATCATACATAAAAGATGACAGGTACACTCTGGAAGTCATCATTTACACTGCATCATATCCAACAAGAGACATTTGGGATGATATTATTTTGATGTTTTATTGTATATTCTAAAAGCTAATTGTAAATAGTAAATGAATGATCCAGCTCAGGTAATGTTTGTCTATCCCACCCCAACCGAAACTCTACAATTTGTGATAAGATGTCAAGTTAAGAAACATTAATAGGTCTTAAGCTGTAGTGCTATATATTAAAGATAAGTTGCTGTTAGGGAAGCATCAATCAGATGTGGTACTTTCTAAATGTCAATGAAGTTTGGCTTTCCATTTACTTTTATTGAAACTACTACAGAAATTTTTTGAAATACTGAGTGTAATTTTAACAAATAAAGAAAAACACAAATTGGTTTCAAGTTTTGAAGTTCAATTGCCATTGTAGATCGTCTGTCGGATAGTTTGGTTATCGTAAGTGCAAATTTTTCATTTTGTTTTGCTGAATATCTAGTTCTAAAGTTTCTTCCATTAGCTATTTCCTTGTTATCATTTCTCCTTTGATTCATCATAGGATTATTATGTCTAATATATCTTCTCTTCAGAAGGAAGATTCTAAGAAGGTGGAGGTTCTAAGAGATGAAATTGCAGAGCTAGAAACAAAGCAATTGTATGTTTTCTTTCAATATATTAGATTTTTTCTTATATATTATTGTTATTCTGCATTACCGCTTTTAGTTTTTTGTTGTCGGAACTACCACTTCTGAATACTTACCTTTGTGACTATAGACGTTTGTTGGGTGAGGACCTGACAGGATTGGGCTTAAAGGAATTGCAAAATTTAGAGAAGCAACTTAAAGAAGGGTTATTGTCTGTCAAGGAGAAAAAGGTCCTTCACATTTTATATTATCCCTTTTCCCTTCTCTACTTTTATGTTCCTTTTTTTTTTTTTTAATTATGGAAGGACAGCAAGAGAATATAATTAATGGTTTCTTTTCAGAACAATGTGCCAGTCCTATAACCCTTCCTTTGATCTTTCAGGAGGAATTACTCTTGGAGCAACTGGAGCAGTCTAGAGTACAGGTATACTGGAATCAGAAGTTAGCAATCTTTAATTAAATGAATGGACCTTACAAACCAAGTAGAATTTGCAAGAAAGTCTAAAACAGTATAGAGTATGTGTGACTATGGCTTATTTATAGGTTTGATACAGTGATATCACCCATAAGGCTTTTAACCATATCATGCATTCTGTAAGCTTACATGGTTGTGACTTGTGAGTATTTTATTTCTTAATAAGTCAATTTCCTTTCAATGGATAGTTGTTGATGGGCTGAGATAATTAGTGATGGGCTTGAGATAATTAGTTAGTTAGTAGGGAGTTATTCTAGAATATTCCCAAATAATAGGATATAAGGAGGGGAGTGTGGGAGCATGAGGGAGGCATGTATTCACTGAATTGGGAATTGGGAAAAGGATCTCTAGGGATCTCTTGAAGCCTTGGTATTTGGCTTTGAGGGTGAGTTGAGGCCTTTGGTTTATCTTATTCGCATTTTCAAGTAATTACTGTTAATTGTCCTATTGTTGGAGTCTGTGATTAGCACAAGATTCAGTGTCTCTATTTCATTTTCTGCCATTGTTATGCGCTGTTATTGTATTTCTGCTAGTAGGATTGTAAGGAGCTAGTCTCCAATTTCATTTGTCAATACAAAATGTCTTTGCATTCAGAGTTATTTGCTGTTGTATTTTTGAGGTTCCATCAATTTGGTATCAGAGCTCTTCCGATCTAGGGGTGTTTCTGATCCAGATCTGAAAAAAAAGAGAGAGAAAGAAATGGAAAACAAAGTGAACAGAATGGAGAGGAGCTTGGATCGATTGGAAGCAAGCATGGATTGAGTGGAAGAGAAAATGGATCGAGTTGAAGATTCTGTTCGTCAACTGAGAGAGACGATAATGGAGCTCATTGATCGAGTGGACCAATGGGAAAGGAGATCAGTTACTGAAAATGGAGCTGCTGCTCATGGTGGTGACCGTGGAAGGAGAGTCTCGCATCCAACAGTGAACCCAAGGGAGAAGGTGCCATACTTCACTGGCGATTATCCATATGGGTGGATTTTTCAGTTAGAGCATTACCTTAGGGTGAATCGAATCCCTGTTGAAAAACAAATGGAGACAACTTCAAGTGGTTTTGAGGGTAGGGCGAAGGGGTGGTTCCAATGGTGGAAACCAAGAAATCTGACAATCACATGGGAGGGATTTTGCTCGGCAGTTCTGCAAAGGTTCCACAGCTCGGTTCGCCGGAAACCACATGAAGCTCAAATGACTTTCTTTATAGGCCTGTTGGTTCAACGAGTGAATGAAAAAGAAGAAAAAGAAAAAGAAGAAGAAGAATCAGAGGAAGAAGAAAAAGAAAATCAAGAAAAGAAAGAAGAAAAAACAATAAAGGAAGAACGAGAAAATGACGAAGAAGAAAATGATGATATTAGGGAGTGGGATGGGATGATTATTGGTTCCGGGTCGGGTCAGCCTCTTCGGGTAACGTGCACACCTCAAACTAGCAGCCCAAGTGATGAGCAAGAAGGGGGAGTGGGCCTAAGGACTGGGCTAATTGGATATGGAGTGGGCTATTATGCTCAACCTGCACTGGAAAAAAAAGCAGCAGAAGTGGGCTTATCATGGCCACTAGGTCTGGTCTAAATGGGCCCAATTTGACAGGCCAATGTAGTAGCAACTTGAGTGGTAACCTATAACACCTCGCATTTCTAAAACATATATTAATATATTAAATATGAATTAAAGGGTAGAATTAGTCAAAATCTTGAAATTAAGGTCAAAATACAAAGGAAGGGTAAAACAGTAATTAGCCAAACATGTAACCCTAGGAAAGTAAAATTGAGTAGGAGGTCTCAAATGATAAAAATAACCCTGGAAATGGATTCAGAACAAAAAATTGAGTGGTTAGACAAGTTTCTGAAAATTTGATGAATAGTGTTTTTACCCGGTAAAAATACCGCGGTACAGTTGCACCGTAAAGCGTATCAACTGAATTTTGAGCTCTAGGTTTGGATATAAGTTATAAATGGAACATAGGACTATAAAATATGATTTTTGGCGAAATTGATGGAAAATAGTGTGTTTGGGGAAGCGTGCCCACGGCGCGCATAACAGCTTAAAACTGTGATTTCTCCGAACGACCGGAAAACTCCGGATTCATCTGATCAAGGGCAATTAAAGGACAATTTTTAATGTTAAAAGTTAGAGTTTCTAAATAGGTTATGAAATTATTAACGTTTAGTGGAATAAGCGGGAGATTTGAATTAGTTTGAATTGCGTGAGGTGGCAGTGGGACCCACCCCACTTAAGTTAAATCATGACACATGGACCAAATCCACTATTCATCATCATCTTTCCTTTTCTCTCTCTTCAAGGCTGAGCCCTACACCATGGAAGGGGGAAATTTCTCCAAAATCTTCTCCTCCTCTTAACTCCCTCCATACTCACTCAAATCCAACAAAGTTTGTCACCAAAGTTGTTGGAAATCATCATCCAAACACATCCCACCGATTAGTTTTCCTTGAAACTCACTCATTTGGGAGAAAATAGGCAAAATCAGCCGCGCCCCTTGGAGGAAATTGGAGGTTTTTGGGGTTGTGTTCAAGCCATTGCTTGGGGATCACTTAGAGGGGTCCTAGGCCAATCTTGTGAGTATATTTCAACACATTTTATTGGTTGTTCATAAATCTAAAAATTGAAAACTTAGAGCATGAGTTGTATGATTTGATGTAGTTAGAGAGCTCAAATGAAAATTGTGTATTAGATAATTGTGGCTTAGAATGATGTTTTAGAGTGATTGATGTGATAAAAATTATTGGTGAAATTGGGATTTTAACTTAGTGAATTTTTGGTTGGGGTTCATGACTTTGTGAATTTGATTGGTTGTAGGATTGTGTAATTGAGTTGTTAATTGTTTGTATGAGTCAATAGTAGGATTGTATGATGTGTGGAGTTGTTGAATTGAATTGGATACCCCTTGGTATGTGGCCATGAGCATTTCAGCCAAGTGAGCAATTTAGGGGGTTGGATGTTGTGAAATTACGTGATGGATGTGTTGTGTTGTTAAATGGTATTTAGAGGTGTTGTGTGATGAGTGGATGCATGGAAAATCAAAGAAAAAATACTTGAATTGTGTTAGAGTGTACATTGGACCTAGAGTGGAATAATTGAAAAAATGGTGTTGTGATGATGTAGGATGGAAAGTGGAACCTAAAATGGTGTTGTGGTAGCCTTAAGATGCTAAAGAAAAATTAGAAGAAAAATTAGAAAAATATTTTGGAAAAATAGCCTATGTTGGCCGAACCTACCATGTGGTAGGGGAGGATTTTGATGTTTTGTAATCTTGGTGGGTTTCACCTTGTATTGATGATCCTTGTGTGATCATTGTAGGTTGCCTCCCTCGGATTTGAACTCGGAACCGTGAGCTTGGTGGGTTGCCTTTGGTCCCGGACCAAAGGGATTTTGGTAAGTGATCTTGAACCTATGCATGTATACTTGATAGACTTGCATATATTTGGTTGGTTGAAATTGAGATGGAAATGGCCTATGTGTAGGCATTTCTGGTGGAATCAGGTTTAGTGATACTGTGATTGGGAGCTATCAAGCGGAGGAGATTATTAAGGTAATCCCTTGGTATTGGGGTTTGATCCCCGTGTGTGCTTCACCATGCCCGTTGAGGGTAGTGGTAGGAGGTGTATGTGAGTAATGTAGTATAACATGTTCATGCATTGTTGTATGTTTAGTGGTACATAGGATGTACCGAGTCTCTGGCCAGTAGACAGTTGCCTTCGGGCGTTACGGACTTCCACTGGATAGGTCTCCATGAGGGAGTTCCAGTTGACCTGGGGTCGTGGTGTGTCATCCGTAGAGGAGCACACTAGGAAGTCTCGGGTGTATATGGATGGAGGGTTCCTTGGTTGATGTTCTGTGAATACTCCTTGGTTTGAAACCCGTAGGCTATATGCCGAGGCCAATAGGACGGACGTTGCATGGCTTTGGCATTGACCATTTCAGCTTCGTCGTATTTTGTTTCCCTATGCTTCCCAACTTCACTAAATTCCTTGCTTTATCTCGTTTTAAATGTTGTATTATGTTATTGATATACATCGAAGTGAGCCATGGGGCGGAGTATTCTCCAGAACCTCTGGGTTACTGAGATATATTCATATATCTCACTCCGCTTTAGGGATTTTATTTCAGGTAGTGCCAGTGGTGTTGGAGCGGCGGGCAAGAGGCCTGTAGGATGATGCTCATGGGCATATTGTGGATATTTGTATTTTGGGGTCACATGACCTAGGCTAGACTTAGGACATGAACATTATGTTGAGTTAGGACCATTCATATTGTCATTTTGTTCATGTCTCTTTTTGGCTAAGTTCAGTGGTTATTTATTATGTTTCATTTGAAAGTTATGGTGTTGTAATTAAAGTTGTAAATTGTAATATGTCCATTGGAGGTGATGTAAATTGTATTATCGAGACCATATGTAATATTGAACCATATATGTGATGAAAGGACAATAGGCCTATTCTAGGATTTGATTTATGTTTTATGTAAAAGAATGCATGCAATTGGATCTTGTGATTTAAATTAGTTAACTTTGAAAGAGTAAGCAATGATTATGTATTTTGAGAAAATTGAATATAAATTGTGAAGGGTTGTAAGAGCACCAATGCATTGTTGTTTGAGGGCAATTGGATGAGTGGATTTTCCATAATCGTTGAGAGAGTGAGGGTTGTTTGGGGCCCTGTTTGGGGTTGGCTGGCAGATTTGCTTGTCAAACTTCAAACCGCGATAACCGGAGCAAACGAGAACTTTATAACTTGTGTGATATCTTGTTAGAAAGATAATTAAGTCTAGAATAACATACTAAAAGATGAGTAGCGCGCGACATGCGGATTTTCTGCAGTAATTAAAAGACCGAACCATGTTCGGATAGGTAGAAAACGTAAAAGTGAGATTTAGGCTAAGTGGGTTTATGGGAACCCCTTAGTGACTTGAGAGAAGTGTTATATGATATTTAGGTTGTT